ATGAATCCGGAATTGTTAAGTGTTTAAACGTTGTACTGTCATTTTGTTATCTTAATAGTATAATTTTTGCATATATAATCAGTGATTTAAGTAGCCAGTTGTAAATTACCTGATATAAGTGAGATTTGCAATTGTATATATAAGCTAAATATCCATTTAATAAAGTTTTCATTATTATTATTATTATATTTAATGATATTATATCGAAAATTGATAAATTACCTTCACACCCCCGAAACAAAATTCTTCTTATATATACTCGCTACTTACTCTCAAAAATCTCATGGAACTTAACAATAACCGATATATCTAAAACCTGGATTTGCGAAACTTTAGATAACGTTGCTACTAAATATATTCGAAAATGGCTGGAACTTCCAATATCTGCAACCCTTAGCAATGTGTATCTTCCCGAAAACAAATTTGGTTTGAATATCATTTTGCCTTCGACGAAATTTGTCCAATGCCAAACTGTTTCTTGTTCAACCCTAAAAGCGTCTATAAACGAAGACATCAACAAATTATGGTCAATAACAAGCACGAACAACAATATTCAGTATGATATATATAAAAATACGAAGGATGTGTTGAAAGCCATTAGGAATGAAAATGAACAGAGACTACAAAACCACCTTATCTCACAAGGTTCTTTCTTCTCAAGTATCATAAAAAACTCCACGTCATTATTCAATTCCTTATGGTCTTCCGTTCAATCCAGACTTCCTAAGAATATATTTAATTTCACTGTCCGTTATATCAACAACTCCCTCCCTACTCGGAAAAACCTGGTCAAATGGGGTCTGTCATCGTCTGCCGATTGTTCCTTTTGCTCCTCTCCTGAGTTACTCCTGCACGTCATCTCTGGTTGTAAAGCATATCTAGATGAAGGGCCATTTACGTGGCGGCATAATTCAGTCCTGGACTTCATTGCATCCAGCCTTATGAGTGCCGAGCGATCCAAACTCTACGTAGATTTGCCTGGCTATATTACTCCGTCAGTTATCACTGGTGATCAGTTACGTCCAGACCTTCTCTTGGCAATTGAAAATAAAGTTTTATATGTTTTCGGGAACTGACTGTTGGCTTTGAAACAAATCTTAACTCTAACTCAGATCGAAAACATAAAAAATATCCGCCGCTTATTTCAGATCAAGAAAATAACTATGATAAGGTAAAATTTGTTAATGTATCCATAAGCTTGCTAGGCGTTTTTGGTCAATCGACGAACACCTTAACTGATATATGCTCAAGGAACTGAAGTTCGATGAACAACAAATTAAATACATTAAAAAGAAAAGCATTGCTATCTGTATTCGCACATCATATTATGTATTCTGTCAGCGAAACAAAGACTGGACTAGCCCAGAGCTTCTAAAATTTTGAACAATATTAAATTCCTTATTTTTGTAAATTTATATAATCCAAATATTTTTCAAGTAGTCATCGATAAACTACCTCTATGAGCGAGGTTTATCAATGTAAATATAGTTTTATGGTATATTATGAAATAAATAAATTTTCATTATTATATTATTAATACGGCGCAACAGCACATGATATGCTACAATTTTATTGCAGTGTGATTAGATCGTCATTAGAGTATGGCGATGTATTGTGGCACGGTAGCCTAGCCAATGCGCAAAGTGCGGACATAGAAAGGACAAAAAGAACACTTAGGATAGTTTGGCCCCAAGATGGAACTATAATGAATCACTGGCACACTTCCGGATGTCTACTTTAAAGGAAAGACGTGAAAAACATTGTGTGGAACTTATCAGGAAAATGTCGTCGGAGGGACATAGACTCATAGATATCTTATATACACTAGATAGCGCATCTCTTTTAGTAAAATTGAAGCCAAGAATTTTCCAGCGGTTACCCCCATTTGAATAGATGGCGGCCATGTTGGTCGTTCCCACTTGCTAATAAACGCTTAAAAACAACAATAACTTTCATCATTTAAATAGTTTTAAAATGTATTTGGAATAGGGTTAACTTAATGTTTAAGTTCCCTGTTTTAGAAATAGAAAAAATACCAATCTTCTCATTTCATGGGAACGACCTGAGACTGCAATCACGGCTTCAATATTTGAATTGCAGAATAATTAGATGCACTATCTAGTGTATATAAGATATCTATGCATAGACTCCATTATCTCCTTCCAGCAAAGGTTGAATGTATCTTTTTAAAATCCAGTTTCATGTATCTTTTTAAAATCCAGTAATAACAATTTGGGCAAAAGTGAATCAATAGTAATTCGTTTTAGATAATGAATACCTTATTTGTTCATTTTCAAGTTAATTTGTTCCTGGGACATGTTGCTGACGGTATGTTGTTCGTTCGTTCATCGCTTACGATTTTGACCACTAACCCCGTGTGATTTCTACCTACTGCAAACCAATTACCCGAACACTTTACTCGAATTAACACTTAAGACTAGAACATTTATCCGAACAATCTCTAACATTATTTAAAAAGTCACGATTAGAATACTACCATAATGCTCTATAGTATGTATCTTGTTACGACGTGGATGATGCTCGAACCTGGAAAACTGGTTGCCGCGCAATCTAATCGATGCATTCCGATCCGTGTTGCTTTTCTAGACTAATTAGTTGGGGTTTTTGTGTTGGGGGGTTAAACTATTTTTTCGTCTGTAATTTGTCACTAATTTTAACTAAAGGGCCCACAGTAATTGGAACCACTTTCATCTTCATTGCTGACGGTAAGTGAATATATGTCATATATGGTCAAACTCGATGGTCTGTGTCAGCGTATATATGTATGGTGACAATTACACTAGAAAACAGCGGATGAGAGGAATTTTACTTGTGTTTTTCAGTTTGTTGAATTCCTCTCAACCCGCAGCTTTCGGGCGGGCATCATCGCGTGAGCTGAAAAATTATCAATGTTTTTCAATTTTTGCACATAAATCTTCATTTTAATGGTAAATACTCTACCTAAAAGCTAAAAACGAAATGAAATGGTAAGATGATGCAACTGCATTCCATATTATTCTACTTTCAGTTCCCTCATAGATAGTCCATAAAAACAAACGTTTGCTGGTGTTTATCCTCGGGGGGGGGGGGGTTCTGAACTACTTGTTTTTCACTTGTCAAATAATTTTGCATTTATGACGAAGTGTTTCTAAAATTTGGTTATTCTGAAAGACCACTTGCTCTAGTTTCGTAAGGCCACGGTACCCGGACTTAAAAAATAGTCGGCCGAAAAATTATGAAATTTCTTCATGACATGATGCCGATATTTCGTACTGTCTGAATTCAAAGAATTTCCGCGTAGGGGCCTAGGGCATACCTACAAGACGGGCTTCAATTTCCGCCATCTTGGTTTCAAAAACACGGCCTGAGTTATCGTTCCAGTTTTTATAGAGTTCAGTTGATCTAACTTTGAAATTATTTCCCGTTTTGGCAATTTTTTGTTACCTGGTCAGTGGTCAGTGGTAAGTGATCCTGAGAGAAACTGTCCTGTCCTGGCGCCATGCAGAGGCTTGTTACAAGAAGAAAGGAATCGAAGCAACTTAATTGCGGTTTAATGTGATAAATATATTTGTGTAATATACAATATATATATATATAAATTTAAAAATAATACAAAGTCATTTTAATATCAAAAATAAGTTATCATTTAATTCCTGTTATAAATTGGCGACTTTAAGCCTGTTATAAGATGGCTTATTTTATTGTTTATATACGAGTATAATATATAATAGATATACTAATATCAGTCATATTTTCTTCTAACTTGAAAGAAAATTAATGTTAATTTCAATAATTGGTTCAGGGCCCAGCGTTTCGAGATTGCATTCGTATATTTAAACTTGCAATTGAGGCCAATGCAGTTCCGTCATTCATCCAGGTTGAATTCGACAGCAAACTCCTTTTACAGCAGCAAACTTTTGTAAATTTCGTAGCTGTTTAAACTTCACTTCTTTCATTGATTGATAGCGTCGTTTACGATGTCGCAACAACAACTTGTTTTGCAGCCGTTGATGGCGTATTTCCTGATGTATTTGTATCAAGGTCCGTTTTCTTTACGGCTGTTGTTGGTTTTGGCTGTGTTGTTTTTGGTACACTTGTCGTAGCAGGTTTTGTTTGTGGTTGTGTTCCCGAATTTGCTGGTTTCGGCGTAGATGTTGGACATCTCACGATGTCTACACGATTTGTTGCATTGTAAATTTTGTACAGAAAGTGGTTGATCGCGAGGTAGTTATACCCTTTACTTCCGTCTGGCATTCCTGGGACTGCAAATAGGACACAAAATATAAGTTTTTCCATAATCACATTTCTACCTTAACAAGACGTATTACGACAGTGCGGTTCCCTGGAGCATGCGCAGAATAAGTGTATCACAAGCGCAAAGACATGCTATTTTTGGATAAATATCAAGACTAACAAGAAAAACGTCGACGTTTAGAGCGAGGGCCCTTGCTTGAAACGTTAAAGTTTTACTTGTACTTTTCAGGTAGTTAAAACCCTCTCAATCCGCAGCTATCTGGTGTTATTATCATTACAACTACGCTGACACTGACCATTCGAGTTTATATAAGAAACTAACAGAGTAACAACCTCACGCAGCGAATACGAAGCAATGCTAAACTTTGTTTGGGCACCGCAATCTTTTCCTAAGAAATGTTCAAATCAAGGAAGAACTTTAATCTGTAATAGACCCAGCCCCTTCTATTAAACTCTCCCTATCTAATAAAAACGCCCACTCCCTACAGGGGCGTCTAGTAGATAATGTAATGGAGTGTATGGGCTATGAAAGCTAAATGGTCTACTCTGCTAATTAATTGGAAAATGTTGTTCAAAGAGGCTTAAATCTTCCGTGTGAAACGCTTCTCTCTAGTAGACGCCCGTTAACTAATAAACACCCCTTTAGATTAGGGCGTTGTTTAGATCATTCAAGGTACCAAATTTAAATTTTAATATAACATGAATTAATGTAAGGTTAAGTGTTGTGTTGCCGGTCAAGATGAAAGAGAAGCATCTTCGTGCACGAAACATGAAGATTTTACATATTTCTTTATAAAGCAATAAGTGGTATCGAATTTATAATTCTGTTTGGCTAATACTAGTGCAATTTGTTCGAAATACAGTGCCAAAAAATGAAATACAGTGCTTAAAAATGAAATACAATGCAAAAAAAGAAATACAGTGCAAATTTCTTTGACTGTTTAGGCTTTCAGATTGGCTTAAAATATGAAACAATAACAAAGATAGCCAATAAGATCTAGTTATTTCCAGGAGAAATAATAAAAAAACACATTTAGGAGTGACAAGAATGGCTGGCGTTTTTTTGTAAAAGAATGGCTGGTGTTAATTTTTTCATGAATATTATTAATAAGTAATAGTATGGTTTCTCGTGCAATTTGAAAAAACATACACTTGTGAGTTTTTCAAAAACTTCAAAACTATGAAAAACTCATTCGTGCATGTTTTCCAAATTGCACTCTATTACGTATACAAAGAAAACGATAATATCTCATGTTTCGCGCACGAATCCATTTCTCTTTGATTTTGACTCCAAGCCCAACACTATCAACATTATGCCAAAAAAGTAGCTACCAAATTCAGTGCCAAGAAAGTAAGGGTGTGCACAGTATGCACCCAAAGAAACGACACTTGATTTAAGTTTTGACATCTGATATATGCAGTTGTAACCTTATATCATAAGTTGAGTCATTCAAATGAGTATAGGTAAAGTCTAGGGAGTTTTTCAAAGACTTCAAATACCACACGTCCTTCGTACTCGGGCAATTTGAACCGTCTTTAAAAACTCCACAATCACTTGTGCATGCTTAATCCAAGTTACACTCCAAATTGCACGCAAACACTGTTCATTCCATTTAAATAAGCCTTATTAAATTAGCTGTCTCAGTGTATCATTAAGACCCTCCCCAGGTTGCAACCATATGGAATAAATTTGAACACTAACATTAACTAAGTTTAAAGCAAAATGCAGTGATATCTTACCGTGGAGAAGTTCTACTAAGCATAACTTCCTTTCTGCATTGTATTTTGCATTTGTGACATGACATTGAGGAACGTTTGCTAAACCAAAAGCATTTCCGTTCTCACAACCAACTGGAAGTGGATTTGAATCTCGTCGAATTCGTCTGTTTTGTACTCTAGAAGAAGAAATTATCTAATATGAGAAACCAATAAAACCAAGGTAATTGGAGAAATGCTGAATATTCGGGCGAATTCATACAAGTCTGTTAAATTCAGGTTATTTTCTTCCAATTCTCTATAAAATGGTATTTCGTCTTCATTTTGCTCCTAACTTCCTAAATGTGACGAAAAGTGGAAAACGTCGATGTTTCGATAGTTTGGGAAGCTGGTGCTCTTATGGTCAATCGTCTAAGTTTTCGTCATCTTTCTCAGGTCAGTACAGCCAAGACAAAAGCCGTTTATACTATCATACATTGTGTAAACCACTCTAATTTTACTTTTTATAGGAGACATATTGCAGTTCAAAACATTCTTACAATGTAGTTTATTAAGTAATTTATATGGTTGAAAAAGTTCCCAGAAAGAACGAGATGTATCTTCTTAACAGATATTTTAATAATTATCTTCTTTTAACAGTTTACTTAGTCAAGTTAGAGTTCAAAATCTGAAAGAAACTTTAACTTGAGACTAACACTTTGTTCAGACAAAAAGCAGTTGGCAAGCTTACCCCTGTCCTGACAGGCCACTTTCCATATTTTCACCTTGTGGTGCGATTCGTAGTGGAACAGCAATGATTTGGGAGATAATGTAAAGGATTACCGTGAGAGTGAACCATAATGATGCCATGTTGCGTGTATATGTTGTTGTACTAGAATGAAGAGCAATAAATATAGGTATGTTTGAGTAGGCGGAAACTAAGGAACTAATATAAGCGAGATGAAAGGTAGTATTGTTCAACGCTTCTTTATGCTTTGTCATTACAGTGACCTGTAGAGGTCGTATATATATATCGTGTCAAATAGTTCAAATATCCAGGCGAATGAAAGATACACTGACGTCAAATATTTTTTTTGCATAATTATATAAGAATTAATGTCAACATGTTGGAATGCCAACAGTTTTGAGGCTTTCATATTTAACTATTCCGTGACAATCCTCAACAACGTTTTGAGGCCGATCCTATATAGAAATTTTTTTCGAAAATAATTAATTAAATGCCCTATGATAAAAAATGGCATAAAAATTCCATCAAAGGAAACGTAGGCAATGAAATATTTAGGTGGGGAGGTGGTATATTAATAGATCGCTTTACCAAATGACGGTTTGGACACAACGCGGACATCACGTGTACAAAGTTGAGCCGTTATATCGGCAGTTCTTATTCAAAATTATGAACATTCGTTCAAAATCATATAGTTTGCATGTTGATTTCACGTCGTGAGTTAGTACGCCACATCTATCGCCCACTCATCCCACTTTTTCAAATGTGCATGCTTGGCCCTCACAGTGCAATACCGTACTCACACGAACGAATAAAACAGCGGTGATACGAACACAAAATTTCCGGCAATCCTCATGTTTGTAAATCGTGCCTAGCAACGTATAACCTTTCCTTTTGTTGCAAATTGTATTATCTTTCCTATCAAAATTTCTATATTTCAATATTGCAGTTACCAAAGATATTGTTACTAGCTAGGTTAGAAAATAGTGGTTTGGTCAGTTGGTTAGTTAGTTAGTAAGTTAGTAAGTTAGTAAGTTAGTAAGTTAATAAGTTAGTTAGTAAGTTAGTAAGTTAGTAAGTTAGTAAGTTAGTAAGTTAATAAGTTAGTTAGTTAGTTAGTTAGTTAGTTAGTAAGTTAGTAAGTTAGTTAGTAAGTTAGTTAGTTAGTTAGTTAGTTAGTTAGTTAGTTAGTTAGTTAGTTAGTAAGTTAGTAAGTTAGTTAGTTAGTAAGTTAGTTAGTTAGTTAGTTACTTAGTTAGTTAGTTAGTTAGTTAGTAAGTTAGTAAGTAAGTAAGTTAGTTAGTTAATTAGTTGGTTAGTTAGTTAGTTAGTTAGTTAGTTAGTTAGTTAGTTAGTTAGTTAGTTAGTTAGTTAGTTAGTTAGTTAGTAAGTATAAGTATGAAAATAAGTAAGAAAGTAAGCATAAGTAAGTTGGTAAGTAACTTAGTTATCCCAACAAAAATAGATTTGAGAATTTGATAATCATTATATTTGCATTAAGTTTAAACCTGACGGTTCATGATTTGTAATGAAATTGCCCGTAAACGTATGGTCTCAAAAAATAATACCGTCATTATTGGAAATAAACTATCAATATGGCAATTTTCTTGAAATCATTTTCAGTTCTTCTTTTAATATGCTGCCTGTTTTTTTGAAAAGTGTAACTAATTTAAAAATGAAGAATTACGATGGTGTGCTTTATATATATAAGACAAATTATATAATGACTCATACTCTGCCAAATCTTTCTCAATTCAATCATGATGCGTTTCTTTGTCACAGATATAAAGACTCAAATAGATCATGCCGTCTGGCATACTGACACATCTTTGAGGCTGAGATGGTAAAATATGAGTTAACTAACTGGAGGACTGCTAGGTTAACTGACCACAAAGCTAAATTATATTTGTCAAAATTTTAAATGTTTTCTGGCAGAATAGGGTTTATCTCGATCGAAAATATCTCATTGCAGGAAATAGTTAAGGGTGTTTTGTGGCTGCAGACATTCGCCATGCATGTAATTCGATGGCGAGTCGTGTTAATAGGCTGTACCAAATTTGGTCACACTTACACATTGTCTGTTAAAAATATATTAAAACTTGTTGCATTTCAATTAATGATAATGTAAAACCGCATAGTAATAGTGTATAGACTACAAAGTTTTTATAAACGGATATAATTATCCTTATATTAACCCACCTACTCTAATTTCCATTTTTGTTGCTCTTTATAATTGTTGTACTTAATAAAGATTGTTTATATATTTTCAATGGATTTTTGTTTTTATATCATTTGCATATATGCATATTAATAATTATCACCAAATGTCACTATTCGTCTTGCCGGTTCAAAAGAACTTTGTTATATATGTTGTCATCTCGATGACTCACATTCATTTATTTTTCTTGTGCAGAATGACATGACTAGACATTGGTTATCATTATTCACCGCTCATGCACCTTTCCAAACGTACACAGTTACGAACAGTCATTCGCATATAAAGGTTAAATTCCTATTTTTGTATCTTCCACTGTTTTTCTGAGTGTATATTTCAACTGTGATTTAATGGAGAGTTGTTCCTACGAACGCGAAATTCACATGCATGAACATGAATTTACCCCATACGCAGTTTGAGCGTTTTTCAATTTATACACATTTTTATTGTGATTTTTCTTTCTAAAACTTTCACTGTTTTCCATAATAATTTGATTTAAATTATTATTAAAATTCAAGGACCATACAAAGCTATAAAATTCTTTATTTTTGCAACGTTTCGGGCAGTTTTACTGCCCGTCTTGTTAATGTTGTTGTTATACTTTTACAATAATCATGCATTATACGAACAACATTAACGAAAGCCCGAAGACTGGCAGTAAAGTCCCCGAAACATTGCAAAAATAAAGAATTTTATACCTTTACATATGTAATTCTTGAATTTTAACAGGCTAATAATTTATAAATCAAATATTTTTATTGTAGTCGACATTGCTAAGATTCTTAATTTGTTTTTAATGCTCATATCTGTAATAACATGATTCAAAATAGGCCCCCACATCGTCTTTGTAATATTCCGCTAATCACATAATCAGTTTACTTTATTTTGGCAACTGCTGTAGTTTCTAGTTAAATATACGGTATTTATTGCTGTCAGTAGGTAAGATTTTTGTGGTGATTTGTATTCTTAACGTGTCGTAATGCACGTCACTGACGCTGTTGATTCAAAATGACGCGTTTTATGTCGAGATAAATGTGCGGGTGAATCGAATCATACAACTTTGTATACCTATATACATGCTTCACAATACGTCACTTTGGCTATTGAGCATTAGACGGCCTCGTTCTCGTGCACGTGACATTAGTTAAAGCCACGTCATGGCCGAGGTGACGTACTTTCCGGAAGGGTTGATTGGTTGAGCTCCGGAATGGAATTTGGGAACAAATATGAACACACGCAGTAATGGAACAAAAATGAGCGCAGTAAAAAACCAAGTAAAGAACAGTAAAAGAAGCAAGTAAAGAACAGTACAGTGCATATACCCATTTTGAATGGCATGGGTGAGGAAACTCGTCATTTTATCATGCATGCAAATAACTCACCCCGAAAGGCTCGTGCAATTTTTCGCAAAATTTTAAACAGCACTCGTACAGTTGTACTGCATGTTAATCCAGAACAGTGGCGAAGCTATCCATGACAACTGGTCATGCTATGCTAATAAACCTGCATCTTGTTAGGTTAAAGAAAATACATTTCTAAAGGTTACAATAATGCAAATCATTAACAATTTACGTAGCATGACCTGTTGCTATGGCTAGCTTCACCACTGATCCTGAATTATACTCGCCATCACATGGTTACCGATACTAATTATCTTATACAAGCTCATAATTAATTACTAATTGTATAGCTAACTGTACTAAGAATATTTTTCTCTTAAATTTTATATTAACATGCGATAGTATATATACGTTCATATACTAGTTTCGAAGTGCATATAAAGATATTTTTGACCCGAAACAGCTTTTCCCTGTTCACATACGTCCAGGAATATCATACGTACCTGACCTAAAATTAATCCTTAAATCCGACATTTAAACCCGGACTGAGATGGCATAAAATTGAAAATTTATGTTATATTTATTAGAGAATGCTCGCTATCACAAGGATAGAGCAAATGGTATGGAAACAATAAGTTGTGCTTTCGTGCATTTTTGGACAGTTGTCATCGCAACCTTAACCAAGGACGTCAAGTTACCAATATAATTAGTTATTAATTAAACACTATATCAAACAATCCAATATAGTAATTAATACTATAATAGCTATGTGCTGTTTGCTGTCAATATATCCAAAATCTAAAAAATTCAAATTGTGCACGCTATCGCTTTAAAAATCCATCACTTCGTTTAACTAAGCAAACTAGCTTGTAAAAAGATGTAAAAACCTGGGCTTCCTCTATTTGTTACTTCCGCTCGTACGGTCATGCATAACTAATTATAGAGGAGTGGTAGGCCTAAGTACGCCCATATATATATATATAAATAAGGAATCAAAACTAAGAGCAACTATCCTTTATTTAGGGCGTGGTTCTGTACATAGAATATAGTAAGGGCGCATATAGAAAAGGCATTGATCATACTTTATGGCCATGTGATGGATCCATCCCATATTTCTAAAAATCCTATGTAAATCACCCTTGGGAATGTGGATTTTTTCGCTCGATAATTCCGCCTCATCCTCCGAATGAGCAATAATACATGAGGAATTGGATCAAACTACGTGAAAAATATAACAAGGTATACGTGCTATGCATGATACTGCAAACTCACAAGTAAACATCCCGTCTTGTATATATGAATTGCCGAAAAAATTCACTAGCGCGAATTATAATATTTATACGGTCGTTTGATGACCTTGTAAGTGAAAGTTTGTTTTAATGAACAAAAAGTTATTTGTTTAAAAAATATTTAAAATTTCAGCTCCACAAGCCTTAAAACCGTCTTTAATTAATAAGGCTTCAATATATGCCATGTTTTAGGAGTTGCGATAGTATATATTCCCCTCAGGGTATTGGATAACATCCGGCTTACCATAGATATATAGAGTTTTAGATGTATAGCTGAATTATTTTAAACTACGTTTTTGATAAACTACTTTGTCAGGGTTTAGGAGGGAACGGGGGCTCGTTCAAACCTGCTTGCGCTTACATTATCTTTAACCATTTAATTAACCATTTATATAAATCGTATATAGGCTATCAAACAATTATACCATCGAATTTGTATGAAAATTGCAAGCAAAAATAAAAATGCTCGTACATTGAGAATAATACGGTAGAGAAAGTGTCTTTGTAGTATCCGTTTGACTTAATATTTCGATGACACTTTGAATTATAAAGACAATATTATACTAAAAAGAATAAAACTCTACTGCGTTTTAGTCTGAAACTTACACTTATTAATAATGATCGAATATCACAATGTAACTTACTTTAACAAGATAAACTGTCTTTAAAAGATAAACCTTTCAAGTTGACCAATGTGGTATAACTAAATATCCGTTCTCTTCGTTCGTCTTTGTTCTGATATGCTTTTGAGGAGACTGCGGCAGTTCCTTTTAAACCCGAACATGTTGCCGCCCACGTCTCATTAAAATTCAGCAATGGCGTGAGGCACTTGTGTAGCGAAGAGGACAACACTTGAGATTCTAAAGTGTAGTCATCCTGTGGAATGTCTGCCATGCAGCTTATAATGTGCTGTAAATTAGCAATAAGTGCATGTTTTGTCACATCATCGTTTCACCACCAAAAATTTCTCCGTCATAGAGTGCAAATACGGTCACATACATCGGGGCAAGGCGCTATCTAGCGGATTCCAATTTTTTCTAAAATTTGTCGACGATTGGTATAACTTCACGGTATAAAATTTGATCTTATTTTAAATTTTTTCATAATATTCATGCATGCGGGTTCTATATTGTTAATTTCACATATATCTAGGCGGCATTTCACAAAGGTTTAATTTATTAATGATCAAGCTATCCGGCTTACGTGCATGCAACTGGCCCCAGACATAAAAAAAAATGGAACATTCCTCCCGTTCAGTTAAGACACCACTCCCAGTCTTTATTTAAGCCCAGTCATTATTTAATTATTTAAGCTAAATGTATTGTATATAAAACCAGTGGCGTAGCCAGCCCGACGATCTAGTCTCGCTATGCAAATATTGCCATGTTTATAAACTATAAACACAATAAATTTCTAAAGAAATGAATAACGATAATTAGTTTAAATTTGCACAGCGGAACTAAATCGTTGGGCTGGCTACGCTACTGTACAGAACACTTCTTGAATTATACATACTAGATAAAACATGAGTAGGCGATCTGTATCTGATATACAAATTCGAGCCGAAGGAGATCAGATACAGATCGGACGCGAATGTTTTATCGTACTTAAAAAACGACCCATTTTATGAGTTCATTGGCGAAGTAATTTTAAAAATAAACATTGTCTAAGCCGAGAAAATCAAAGCTCCGATTTACAAACATTGATTAAACATTCATTTCTTTTGTATTTTCCTCGTGAATTATTAATTAATTTTTTAAGCTTAAATATCATCAGATTTGGGAAATCAATCTGCCGTACAAATAATGTAGTACAGCATAGTTGTTGGTCTTGGCATAGGCTATTCCGCATTATCGCTGGTTTTGAGTATTGTGTTCCTAAATTAACTTTATTTGTTTAATTTAATTAAAAGAGTAACGGTTCATACTGTTATGTAATGAGCCCGCCATTAAGTCCATCAGGTAAAGACATATTATAACTTGGTTGATATAGGGATGCATCTAGCTGAAAAATACAAAAATACAATTATTTCTCCTTGTATTTTCAGGTAGCATCCCTGTCGACCAAATTTTGTTATTATTGGCACTGCATACATTCAACAGTTGTATTATGTAAGATTAAAATACGGTAATATACGTGCGAGAAATAACGATTGAACACAGTAAAGAGAAGTACACATTTCTAAATATTAAGAGAGTCTAGCTTGTAAGACAGATTAAAACACTAACGCTCTCATCCCAGGATAAGGGTTAAGGAGTTATTAAGTTCAACAGTAAACCTCTTTCTGGTTCGAGGACTCTTCCAGTGACAAGTAAAACCGTCTGGCGTGAAGGACAGTTAATCGGTTTTATATTGAACGTTGGGTACCAGTGCAGGCAGCGAAGAATACAAGCACAAATTCTAGACCAAGAGCCTTGTTGGCTCGAAACGTCGAAATATGGACATATGGTCTTGATTTTAAGGTAGTTTCATCATATATATACAAGTACAATTTGTTTTATACGCATATCTATTAAAACTATACATAGAACTTGTGATATTTCACTACATCGTGCTTAATTGTTGAAGTATTTTGACTGTATCATTGATATCATTAATTAACGGATGGTTCTGCTGACGTCAAAAGCAGGGTTAACCTTACTAGATTTAGTTCTTAGAACGACTAAACTTAGTTCTAGCTGACCAAATAGCAATCAATAGATATTTCAAATATGTCAAATTTTGGGTGCGAAACGTCTGTATACTTGTAGTGCTAACCACAATAATCCAAGATGGCTGACAACTTGCTGTATTATGCTGATTCCGGTCAAATATTTCTATAACTAAGCAATATATGAAAAGCTTTTAAAACGTTCCCATGCACATAATCCACAAACTGACATGTTTGTATATCTCTTAAACAAATTAGGTAAAGCACTGGATTCTTATGTCTAGCAATAGCTAAATAAACTCTAGACTGTATGATATTGCTGACAAATATTAAAACCTTTCCGTTGACCTAACTGGAAATAGTTTCTTCATGACGAGTAAATTTTTTACATTTCTATGAATTTCCTTGCAAGATGGCATATTTTCGAAGTGGCTAGACATTCGGCAATTTTAGAGGGATATTAGAAGATATTTGGGGATATTATAAGGATATTTAGGTTTAAGGTTATTTTAAGGTTATTTGTGGATAATTGAGCTCAGAACGAAGGCCTAATATTCTCTCTTCATTATTCATTATCTATTATTGCACAATTTTATTTGATTTTCCCCCCTCTTTTTTCACCTTTTTCCCGTCTCATTGTTCATCGAAAAGCTTTCTAAAGTTATAATTCATAGCTAAACAATTTAACATGCGGGAAAGTCTTATTGGTTTAGTGTCACGAAGCAACAGAAATTTCGCTTCTTACAGGCGGAAAATATTAAACTTAATTAATTTCCTCATTCCATAGCTAAAAGTGATAAATCTATCAGATTTAAATTCCAGTACAGCCGAGGATTTTTTTTCAAATCACTCGAACACACGAACAAGTGGAATAAGTTTCCCTCATTCAAAACTGGCACGACTAGCTTTTTTCACATGCACGACTATATAGCTTTTGCCTTTTTTCATCGGCATGGGGATGTAAAAACAGTTTTTTCTTGGTTATTGCACGTTTACATGGTGATGGCTTAATGTTCATCCAGTTATGTAAAAGTAATAACACCGCGGGTGTTTCTTCCCCAAAACAAACCGGATGATAATCTACTAATATATTTAATTGGGCTATAAAATACCGCGGCGGGATATACCTATTCAGTTAACTGCGAGAAATTTCTAGGGATATCTCTGCGACTCTGCCCCGCTTTTGGTTTCCAAAATAATAAATCCATGGAAAAAGAATCATAAATAAATCACATAAATCCATGGAAATTGAATCACTGAGATAGTCGAAGCTACTGAAACTTCATGCACAGATTAACAAAAATACTAATGAAAAAACTATTATGTCGAGCTACGTTAAGTAAGAACCGATTAACTATTCTATTTGTAATTAGACAATCTGAACTGAGTAGTTACTATAGGAAACATACCGCATGGATTTTTAGGTGGTACAATAAATTAAATTCAACCGATCTTCTTCTTTCAAAAAAATTCCTTCAAATTTTCTTTGACAGAAATTCCTTCAAATTAAAGACAGGTAGTATAGAATATACATATATATTTGGTAAAATTCCTTTTTTATTCAATAGAGCAAAAGCTTTCACTTAACTTAAAAGTTAATATACTAGTTAATATACTAACGAGTCATGCGATGCAAATTTTTAATGAATTGCATTATTGAAACCTCTACTGAAATGTATTGTCTTTAACCTATTTAGATGCATGAGGTTTAATAGCATAGCATGACCAGTTGCCTCAACTCGCAACATATACTAGTTAATTATGTAAAATTAACTTGGCTTCAGTTTAGTTTCACGTGCACTGTCGAATGGGGGCCAGTTTGGCAATCATCTGATCATTACTATAACTCGAGTGCAACCAATTAAAGTATTTAAACCCTTTATCAAATTAGGAATTGAGCAATACATTGCATTTCCTTAAGTCGCTAAGGTTCCGACAAATCATTTTTCAAACGCGCCCGACTTCCGTAATTATCCTAATACCCCGTTATTAAAATTGATCGAGCAATTTAATTGCTAGGTGGCCATGTTTACATTTTAACGCATATTTATCAACGATGCGATATCGTATAGTAATATAGAACCTTAATCTGTGCCAATTAACAGACTATATGCAGTGGAACAGATATTTCGGATCGAATTCCAATGATTTGGCTAGGGATGATTAAAAATCACTGAGAGGCCTGCCTTAAATATACTTATTTATAAATGATTTTTGTTTCGCCTAACGTTATGATTGAGGCATATTCTAATACTTGTGTTTATGTCGAAGTTTATATCCCAGACATAACAGCATGTTAATAACGGTTTATTTTTCATTTTGCATAGTGTTACGTGCGATGTTCTTCTTCTGATGGATGGGAACTAGTGAATGAGTTTTGTCACCCTTAGGGACCAGTCATTATTTATGGTGGGGGGTTGCACCGAAGAGAAAAAGGTTGGGTAAACAAAATTTTGAGTAAGTAAAAGGTTGGGTAAATGAAAAACAAAACAACTCAAGGGTTGGGTAATAAAAATTTATTGTCATTTCAAAAATGTGACTCACTGTCAAAATATTGTTGACTGAAAAGCAATGTCAACAGTCATTTGTCAATACAATATATGAATCAATCAGAGTCACTATCTTGATCATTTTGACAAAAGAAATGGTGTTTCCAAAGAAAGTACATGTGCAGACAACATGAAACTTTAGACTGCAGAAAAGTTCACAAGCCGTTATCAAACTCATGTCACAGAAGTGGTAAACGACATGTGTGACAATTCAATGGTATCTTTTTGTAACGTTTTTGGCCAGGGTGGGTAATTATTTTTTAATTGATATTTGAGGTTGGGTAATCAAATTTTTGTCTTTTTAATGGTTGGGTCAGCAAAATTTTTGCCAAGAAAAACATTTCTCTTCGGTGCCACCCCCCACCATAAATAATGACCGGTCCCTTACTCAGAATATTAATTCATAACTGTTCTACTCGTTCACGTGCATCAGAAGAAGCAAATTGCCCTAGATATTGCAGCAAAAATTCTTGCAAGTAAAAACGGGCGTATAAAATGCTTGTGCTTACAGTATTTCACGCGTATGGTGTGAACCAGACTACAGAGTAAATACTTCCACGTGCATGGTATTACAAAAATTTCACAAATGTCTTATTTAATACGTGTGAACTTTTCCAAGTCCAAGTCCATGTGAACTTTTCCATATTCACAAAATATGAACCATTACTTTCGTATGTGAAAGAATATGTGACCCGGCTGATTTCATGTGTGAAATGTGTGAAATTTTATTACATTATATTATTTTGGCATGCAAATTTTTGGCAACTACATTGGCAACATACAATAATTGAATACTTCACGATCAATATACATATCTGCTGAACAAAAGCCTATTGGCCCGGATCAAACGTCGTCCTTCTCATGTGCTGAACCTAATAACTGTATGAAGTGCTACACAAGAGTCAAGACTCTACAAGAGCGACGACGTTTGATTAGGTTAATTAAGTTCGACAGAATGGATTAGGTGCGACAGAGTTTAGGTTTTTGTCGAGAATCGAGTGTCGAGGGTCCAATGTCGAGGGTCCAATGTCGAGGGTCATATAAAAAAGTCGAGGGTTATATTAAAAAGTCGGTGACAGAGGCATTTGGAGGGACGGTGGAGCGACAGGTCTTGTTGCACTATGTGACTCTGGGGCGACACCAATTTAAACGTCGCTCTCCTAGTGCCGAACCTATGCATAAATTATTTTAATTAATCTATGTTATATGTCATTTATTTTCATATTTTTAAATATATATTTATTTTAATCCATGATTTGCATTGTGAGCGACATATTGAGTTCGACGTTTGATTTGACCCCGCTCCAACGTCGCTCCAGTGTCGTATCGAAATTGAATTACTATGCATGTTCAGCGCATGAAAACAGCGACGTTATTGACCCATTCATAAGTTTTCCTTTGGTAACAAACAGCAAGTATCCGAATTATTAACTCTTCCCTTCCGAGTTTGGCCTTTGTAGCCGCCAAAGCATGATTTTGTGGCCCACCATGTATTGCTGTTTGTTTATATCTGCATCACTCTCAACGGCTTGCATTGCCGCTGACCAATTGACCAATACAAGTCAACACTACAGATTCTCATGTCTGCTGATGAAGAGATTCATACTTTATTTTTTTTAGTAACGTCCGACTAATTCACTTATGAATTTGAGATTTCGTCGAAGTTCTGAGAAGGTCGTGTAGGGGTAAAATAGGTGCTATTTTTTCTTCACTGGAAAATGGGATTTAGCCATTTGTAATGGGAATTGGCAATGATATGCAGTGACCCTGATCGGGAGTCAGACTATAGGTTTCAGCTGCGAATAAATTATTCAGATTCCCCTTAAAGAACTTAAAATCTGAGCCAATTATTAACAGACTATATTGTTGACAGTCGCCAATATGGGGTATAGAAGTTAAAATCTGAGCCAATTTATTAACAAACTATATACTGTATACAGTCGCTAATATGGGTACGATCTAATGATATTAATGGCATAAATGGGATTTGAAATTTCCTTCAGGACAATTCCCTTCAGGTCAATTCCTTCGTGGCGATGGACCTATATAATACTATAGTTTGCCTCAATCACAAGAAAACATTGATCACTCCGAAAACGGTAAACATTCTTAAAATTGTTTAATCGACGTTTCGACTAAATCTTGGTGATCATCAGGAAATGATAAAATGTTGATTGCACAATTTTGAAGATTATATGGTTGACTATTGCTTTGTATTTGATAAAAATACTCAGTGGTTCCCACAACTTAAAAACCATGACAGTGCAGTGAATTAGTGTGTATAACGATATTATTTTTTAACTATACCTGTTCATAAATCATAAATTATAATTTTCCCAGGGTTAAGTGCTAACTAAGGATTAACAATCTATGCAAGAGCTTTGCCAAAACCAATTTAAAGTCAAGATCATGTTCTTAAACCAACTTAAAATAGCTGAACGTGTGCCAAAATCAAATACCACAATACGTCATTTCGGCAGGAATTATAAGAGTGTTCATATTAAGCAGAAACGCGTAGAAACGTTTTCGAAGGTAAATATACGTACATAGGAAATAATGCGCGGTTCGAGAAGTATACAATATACCAGTCGGCAAGTCGCTTGCGTCTTTGCAACCGAGTACTTCATGCATTCGCAAAATACAAGTTCAATATAATTTCAATCAATTTTTTACGAACAACAAACAAATGTTATCTATGTTTTCGCTCGCTACTCTGGTATTTAAAAATGAATGCAAAGTCCAGGCCAGTCGAATTGCATTCACGACGCAACATTTCAACGCTCCAGTCTAGTGCTTTCATCAGGCACAGTTGCATCAGGGGAGATCTGAAATCACAACGTGGCTTCTTATATATCTATGGGATGACGTCATCTGCCAATAGAGAGTGAAAACATGACTGATATACCTGCTTGCCGCGAACTCATAAACTTTAAATGTTCTCTAATCAGTGTCTACTGTTATTAAAATCTAGTTTAGGAAGAATAAAAAATAATTTCTATCAAGAGTATTGTAACATTCTTTGGATAGCATCCTTAATGTGTAGTTCTCTTTGATCTTGAACCGAATCACCTTGAAGGACTTTAATTTTAGCCCCGGTCAAACGAAGACTATGAGAGTTGGCAGTCACGCATTGTTACTGGGGACCGATTTCACGCTCTAAATTAACGAAATATGGGTTTGATGAGTGTTCCAACTACGTTTTAACTTGAGTAGAATATATAGCGTTGGAAAGCATTAACAACAGCTAACCAAGGTCGCGCGACTACCAATTCTCACGCACTCTCAGGTTGGGATAAAACGCGGATACAGACGGCGGACGGACGGATGAACGGATGGACGGACGGACAGACGGATGATTTATGTTCTCATTAAACGTCATTTAACAGTCATATCATCGTTTTATCTAAAAGGACAAATCGCGGATATAGTTTACAAAACACTTTTCGTGCCTTTATAAGTCATGAGAAAGGTTTGTTGAACTATATCCGCATTTTATCCTCTCAATATCTTTTATCCGGTTTTATATAGTTACAAAAACCGTATTTTATGCCTTTATAAGTCATATCTGCGTTTTATCCAACAGGATAAAACTCAGATGTGGTTAAAAAAACGTTTTCATGCCTTCATAAGTCATATCCGAGTTTTATCCAAAAGGATATTGACCATAAAAGGTGGGTATCCTAGAATTTTAACAAATAAAAATTGCTACTTACAAATTTCTAAAATTACAATTAAGTTAATGTTAATAATCATGGCAGGCAGAAGTAAGCACTCTTTATGATCAGTTATCGCCTCGGAAACATGCTTCACAATTGGTGAACTTCTTGCCAATTAGCATTTCTCACGCCGCCATTTTTGGGTGGCTTTTCAGCCGAAGTCTGCGAGATACTGTAAGTCCACATAACAGCGACTTTTTATAATATTTTTGACAAATGATGGTAAATTTGCTTTGTAAATGGTTAGTTTATATTGAAAAATTGCTTTTCACATTGGCGGTTTTAATTGTCTGCATTGGTTAACGAGAATTAGATCGATGCCACCCAAAAATGGCGGATATTCGTCATCATGAGAAAGGCTAATTACGCTCACATCCAACTTCAGCACTCCAAGGAGTGAAAGCTTTCTTTTTTCTGTGTGTTTGTCTGTTTAACACGAAAATTTGTGGGACTATAGGACAAATCGATTAGATTTTTATTCAATTTGGATGAAAATTGAATAGCAATTAGCCTTTCTCACGCCGCCATTTTTGAGTGGCATTTCAGCCGAAGTCTGTGAGATAAGTCCACATAACAGCGACTTTTTATAATTTTTTGGACGAATGATGGTCAATTTGCTTTCTAAATGGTTAGTTTATTTTGAAAAATTGCTTTTCACATTGTTTTAATTGTCTGCATTGGTTAACGACAATTCGATGCCACCCAAAAATGGCGGATATTCGTCATCGTGAGAAAGGCTAATTAGTAGCGAACGTTTGTCTTGCTTTATTGGCAGAGTAAACTGAATGCTTAATTAGCTCATTTGTGCATGATACATCGGATGCATGCATGCTCGATGCAAGCTCGATGCATGCATGATCGCTGGCGGAAGTATGCATTCTTTGACTGCTATCTAGTTTTTCACAGAGGACGTTTTATCGACGTTTGAGTGCTATCTAGTTTTTCAGGGCCGTAGATAGACCGATAATTGGGGGGGTGCATATTCATATATTCGTGCTCTGCCCGACGGATTTCTTTTGAAAGCGATTGTTGTTACGGTATGTGAACATAAATATATGAATATACCCCCCCCCCCAATTATCGAGTCTGGCCACGGCCCTGCCTGAAGTATAGATAGATAGATGGATGGATAGATGGATAAATAGATAAATAGTTTATTGAAACATCTTGCAGTCAAAAGACTGAATTACATGCGTAGTTACTAGTTTACAAGATTATGAAACTGAGCTGATATTAATATACAATGTCTACTAGAATTGGCATAAAAATTTCTAAGAACGATTTATCATTAAAACTATATTTTAAGTATTATATTATGTAAAACTTAATGTTAAAAAAGTTAAAATTTGTTTAACAGTTTTCAGAGAGAGTGTTTTTTATAGTGTTTTTCGCACAATGGATAATAAAACTATTCTCAAAGCGGTTTCTGTTTGATACTGGGACTTCAGAGGTTCTTTCTTTTCGCAGATCTCTATTGGCTGCTTTTGATGGGAGGAGTTTGGCAAGCTTGTGTCATCGTTTGATACAATATTATCAAAAATTTTGCAGGATAGATACTCTCGCCTATTTTCAACGGTGGAAATATCAGCATTGATAAGAGCATCATTATAAATCACATCCGGGTATATTATTCTCATTACACGCTTTTGTATACGTTCGATGTCCTTCGCAACTCGCAAGGTATTGTGGCAAGGCGCTATATCGTTATCATCATTTCCTGTCTTATTCGAGGTTTTACGATTAATTTTTACTGTATACTCCTACAACATATCTAATAAAATTTTGCCGGAACACCCCCAGAACCCTGTTAAAAATAGTTCAGGACCTATTGGCTTGATCATGAGAATATGTGGTTTTTAACAAATTTTATAGCACGGTTCACGGTTGGCTCAGTTTTGTTTGATGTACCGCGGTGATTTTGCCCCGTATTTACCCCGATTTGGGTTTAGTGCATGGGTTTATAATTGCCTACTAAGGGGAAACTACAAACTCAAGCCCCTAATCTCCTTCTCGTCTAGATAAACGCTGTACCGTCTTCGATCAGATGAGAAAGAAACTACCAGCCAATATCCTAAGGCCCGTCAAAAATCTATCATCCGATGCGTAAGGATTAGCTCGACAACAACCAAAGTTCTAACACGCATACACTCAGCAAATTTATACAAAAACAATTGCTGTTTCACTTGTGGGACGTTGAATGATAAAATGGCAAAATGCGCATGCTCGTTCGCAATAAAGCATTTAAAGTGCGCATGTTCAACCAGATTCTACGTCCAACAAGCACAAAAAGCCTCCGTTCTCGGTGTTTAACCTATACATAGACGCTAACACATTCATTGAGTTATTCTGATGTTGTCAGGTTTACTATGGCCTTAGCTTTCTACTACAAATTTGGATTGCTAGTTTTATCATTACCTCTAGTTTGTCGAGGCTAAAAAAAGAAAGCTATTTCGGTTTTCCCTATATATGACAAGATAGTCATTGCTTCCGGGTGGTTCCGTGTGGGTTGCGATGTGCTTACGGGTGCGTTCCGGATGATGGGTTTCGAGCAGAAGTAAAGTTAGAGAAACTAAAGAAAAAAGCGTCATGCAAAAGCAGGTATCATCTTGTCAATGACATGGAAAGTTCCAAACAGCATAGTTTTGCTGTGTATCAAACCTACTCGTGCTAGACTACTGTGGCTATATTATAATTTTGTAATGCTTAAATTTTTCAATTGTTATCACTAAAATATCTCGAAAAATTCAATTATTCCAAACCTTTATACAAAAGAGTACAAAATCCACACAACTCAAAGCTAATCTGGCTTATTTGAATTTCTGATTTACTCATAAAATCTGCATGTGCATTTAGCTTATTTTCGGGATCCCATTTTCCAAGTAGCAACTAAACAGTATACTAGGTTACCCACAGGGCAGTAAATAATGCTGCCTTTGACAGCAAAAGACAAACTACAGGGTGTTGAACGAGTCCTTCAGAAACATCCTATTATTGTTATCCTTGTTAACCCATTTATTGACAGTACCCTACCATGAACTGACTGAGTATTAAAAATCGTCTGGTGTTGGACAGGGTAAATACTAAAGTAGGGGCCATTACTGTGTTGATGAATTAACAAGGGCCATTGGCAGATAGGTTTGTTAACCCATTTACTGGCAGTACCTTATACGGCTATACCACTGACGAGTAAAATCTTCTGGCGTTGGACAAGGGAAGGGCGCATTGCCAGCTAATGGTTTAAACCACCGTGGTTAAAAAAAAACGTTTAAAAAATGTTTTTCTCGCCCGCGTGTTCGCCTTTCGAATTCGCGCGCCTCACCTCCCTAATTTTCGCTGTCCGCGCCTCAACCGCCAGGTACGCAGGCTACTAGCTCGAGGACTCAAGACGGTGACAATTTGCTTACGTCTCGACGCGTTGTATATTTACAGGCAACTAATATTCTTTATACAAACGATACAAATGTTCAAATGGTCAACAGAAATTGTCGAATGGTTACACAAATAGGTTGCTACAAATAGGTTGTCAGAATCCGATTTATAGTTGTCTTAAACTGAAATAACAAATGAAACATAAATTCATGCACTACATTCCGGACATTCCTTAACAAGAAAACAGGTTTTAGACAAATTAATATATAAGGCCTAGACAATAAGAAACTAAATTAAAAATACATGCTAAAACAAGACATACGATGTACTATGGTAACAATTAATCTACATGTATGTAAACTTTGAATATGTAACTCTCGCATGCACGGAACGTGAAACAGATAAAATCTTGTACATGTCATGCGAATTAGCTGAGGACAAATCAAAACTACTAAATCAAAACTACTTATAACTAAATAAAAAATTGTGATAAAGATAAACTTACATAGTTCCGCTTTATCGAGGCGATCGACGTACAAACCACGATGTGTCCGAAACTGGAAGAGCTACGAAAAACTTTTTACTTAATGTTTCCACAACGAATGCGCATGACCAAGTGCCCGAAAAAACATGTTTGTGCAAAGTTTTACCTGTCCCAAATCTTAGTTACTGCGTCATGCTTAAGTACTAATTAATATGAAGTTCCTGTTATTGTTTAATCAAGTGAAAGCCGCTAGGCAAGCTGCCAATGGCAGCGCCAGTGATTTCTAGAACAACATTCAACAACGTTACATTTCTTCCGACAATATATGTTATATATTCAAGCTGTCAAAGACATCAAAGACAACCGAGTCCCAATGGTTTCGGGTTCGATTCCCACCATGGTCAGGCAAACTTTTCACTTTTCAGCTTGCTCGCGGTGTGGATGCACACTCAGAGTAATACCACAAACATCTTATATACAGAAGTTGTGTAGTCCTAGGATTTAAGAATAAGCAACAACATAAGAATATGAAAAAGAACGCAACGTTTTCATATTCTTATGTTTATGCTTGGATCGTAATTAATGCACTACGACTGTACACAAGTCGCAACAAATCAGTATACGTTTAATTTTCTTATGCTTGTTAAGGACCAGACTTTAATTCATGAGTGTTGACAGAAATTGAATATTATAATGTTATCTTCAAAGTGGGGTCATGTACTCCTGTCTGAAAGTGTATTTATGCAACCGGGTTATAGTAGGCGTGGTATTTTAGAATTTTAATAGAATTCTGAAACACTTTTTCAAATGACGAATCAGAAAAATTGATGATAGAACTCAAAACTGTCTAATTTTGGGCGATCCTGGGTGACTCACTATAAGTGCTTTTTACAACCTCACATCGACTATTGTTCGACAGTTTTGGGGTCAATCGACAGACGTAACAAGAATACACAAGCTTCAAAAATTAGCTAGGAGAATTGTTTATGATCAACCAAGACTAACATCATCTGGACGACTATTTAAAGCAGCTAAAGTATTACCTATACAGCAAAGAGTCAAGCTACGAACCGCGATTCGGGTATTCAAGGCTCGAAACCAATTGGTAGCGGAAAACATTAGTGGCTTATTCAGTTCAACTGAAGTCGTCAGTGACTAAGAAGTTCTGCGGATAATGATTTGTAGGTACCAAGGAATAAATTGGCAATCAGACGAAAGGCACTACCATACAGTGGTGCAACACTTTACAATAGTTTACCACTTGAGATAAGAAACTCTTCTTCGGTAGCATCATTCAAAATAAGAACATATCAATACTTTTTAGAAACAATTTAAACGTAGTCATATGTAATCTATATACACTATATACCATACATCTTTTTTTTACCACGTAACCTAATATATTTGTTTGTTTGTTAATAGTCGTAGTTATAGAAGGCCGGCAGTGTAAGATTAGCTATGGTAAACTGGTTTTTGTAATACCTTCTTTAAATAAAGTCTATTATTATTATTATTATTATTATTATTATTATTATCTTCTATCTATCAACTCGGATTGTCTCTATATCCTTGAACTTTCTGTTGGCTATGAGTCTAATCTACAAACAAATGTTGATCGGAAAAGAAGAAGATACGAAGATCTCATTACACAGCAAAAGAAACAATTTAAGTCCGTAAAATTTGTAAATTTGTCAATTAGTTCTTTAGGCGTTTTCTCAAAAGAATGTCATTCCTTTTTAGATATGTTAACTGATCTAGGTCTTGACAAAAGACACCAATATTTCGCTATCAGGAAAATTATGTCTATCGCGATTAGGACAACATATTATATATTTTGTTGCAGAGATAAGGACTGGTTAAATCCGGAATTACTGAACATTTAAGGATACTCATTATTAATATATAAATATTAAGCAGGTTCAAGTAGTCAATTATAAATTACCTAAATTAGTGAGATTTATAATTGTATATATACGTATATAATTTCAATAAAGTTTCCATTACTCACCATGGGCATGGAAAAACATGTAATATCTTTAGGTGAGAAGTATCGGGTGTCAAGTCACGCAGGTGTTGCAGCGGATACTGCGGATACTCACCCCCCCCCCCTAAAACATTTCTCCCACCGGATTGTGTCTTCCCGGACAGATTGTGTCTTCCCGGACAGATTGTGTCTTCCCTCACGTATTCTGTCCCCCACGCAAACTACGCGATTACGTTCATAGAATGAGACGTTTTACGAAAGCGGTGTGGGAAACGCTTTTTCGTAACATTGGTTTTTTTTTAACTTGGAATTTGGAAACTTGTCATTGAAATGCTTTTATTGAAACCAATTCTGTTTATAACAGAGGCATTTCAATATATTAATCCTTTTTATTATTGCATTAATCCTACTGTCATTAAAAACAAAGTCAATCAAAGGAATGTTTTGAATGTTTAATTGCTATTCTAGTGAATTATTCTTACGGTTAGTTGTACTGTAGATATATAATGAGAAATAGGGATTTTATCATTTTAATGATTCAGAATAATTGCTCTGTTTTTTGTTGCTCATTTGTATTCGCCCCAATGACCTTGAGATGTCTCCTGATATTTCGCAACCAATTTGAAATAACCATAAAACGGTTTAAAGTGTTGGTAAACTTTGAAGCATACCATAAAAGTAAACTATGTATACAGTCGTACTCTCACTCCAGCCAGTCACTCAGAGATATTGCTTTGAAAACATTTTGACAGTAAAAATGAGAATAAGCAAGGTGAATAAGTCAACCCCAATACCCCATACGATCTTGATTTCGGTTCGCTGTCTGTTTTAGTCAGTGTACAGTAGATGACAAATTTCACATGGCCATATGGCAGCACTTCGCCTTGGGATACTAACTCCTAGTTATATAGGGCATTTACGCCTGTATTCCAAAAGCTCACTCACACTCAAAGAGTGGAGGTTCAATCTGAGCTTCTCTTGTCGCCGAGTGTTAGTGCTGTTTTTGAATAGCTGGAGGGTTATTGTCGTACCTTACTATGTGACCACGCACCTTTTATCTATTCAAAAACAGCATTGACAAGGGAAAGGAAGATTGAACCCCCACTCTTTGACTGTGAGCGTCGGTGAGCGAGCTTTTAGAATACAGACGATAGAATCTAAACGCTTCGAAAGACTAAAAATATCAGTTGGGCAGTATAATAGTTTATATAAAAATGCCATGGGCAATCATTAACATCATCATACAAAATGTATCTGGAAAGGTCCGTTCACTCCTTGCACTGCGGGTGATTGATTACTGCAAGCATTTTCCCGTTCACAAATTCTACAAAACAGTATATATTTTGATGTATACCTTAGATATATAATGCACAACGACGTCAATGTATAAAGATTAGAAAGTGATTGCCAGCGACGCGTAGAAGAGAATCTTGAAAATAAAAGTTGTCTTCTTTGCTGAAAACTCGATGAAATATTTTGCTCTTGACCGTAGCTAGACAATTGCAATTGGAACAATAATCGCGTATGGATTGAATTTATGTAAAAATTGATGAACATACTGGTAGCGGAAAATATGCAATTTGGAAATGGAAGGAATATTCGACTCTGCGTCAGCGGGTAAACCAGAGTCAAAACCGCGCACGCTAATTCTTCATAGTCGCCAAAGAACGTGCCTCGCCTAGATTAACATTTTCTAGATGCTATATGTGGAAGAAATACTGACCAAAATATAATATATCAGATATATAATATTGCTTGTGATTTCTCGTTCAGATGGCTTGAAATTTCGTGAAAATTGTTAACATGTAAATGTCCGAAAATCTCATTTTAGCACGGCAAACAATCATCGATGTGCGATATTCAAAAGTGCGCGAAACTGAATGTCGCATTCCGATGGTGTGAGAAATTAGATCTTTATTAAGTTAAATTTCATTAATCCAATTAAATCGCGCGAATTAATACTGATCGAAAATTAGTACTACTTTAATTCGTACCTAACGAACTATACTGAAACCCGAGCGGTTGGCAGTAGGCTAAGAGTACTTTTCAATAGAGATTCAGTATTATTTAACGACAAAATAAAACAAATTAAAATATAATTTGGATAAACTCAAAACCAAATACGATAAAGATTGATAACTAGAAGTTACTATCGCAAGGTAAGTGCTGAACAGGAAATTTGTAAATCAGGAAGCGATTTTACAAGATGAAAAGGTTGCGTTATTCGTTAAAGTATAATGACGTCGAAAAGGCACACCTACACTTGATCAAATCTATCTATAGAATGCTTGACAAACTAAAAATATCCAGAAGCCAAATGACTCGTTGTTTCGGTTGAAATAAAATAATAATAAATAAAATAACAACAAAAGACGTACTGTAGCATTGAAGTGAAAATCTCTGCAACTCACGACGTACATAATCTTTATCACGAAATATTGCAACACCATACATCTTATAATTCGCAATCGGGGACCCGTATTCTAGGAAACGGGAATAAACGCAGGAAAGCAAGCGAAAGCTGCCCTACTTGCTGAAAGGCCAAACACAACCAAGGTTAGGGCACCTTTTTCGAATAATTTATAAACAAAAACCGTGCGACATTGCGTTTGTATTTATACAAGAATGGAAACATGTCGACATGTAGGGTACTACTATACAGTGATACAGGGTATATAAAGCGATACAACGATACAGCGATACAGGGAGCTGGAACCGTGCTCTAATTTGCATTATGCAAATTAGAGCATTTTGCACCATGCACAGGAGATATACTTAAAATACTCATTAAAAATGCATAAACCTTGTGCCAAATCATGTCAGCCATAATATGTCATGTGGAGTGACTTTATATCTGATAAAACTCATCTTCATTAGTATTCTTTATATAATTCTTCATCCTAATTGGTATGATTATATAATTGTTCATCCTAATTAGTATTCTTTTGTAGTCGTATTTTAAGCTATTCAAAACACTCGAACTCGCGTTTTACCATATCTAAAACGCTCGGCTGCGCCTCGTGTTTTAAATATGATAAAACACTCCTTCTCGTGTTTTAAATACTACATAATAATAATTTACAGGGGGGCGCAATTCAATGATAGTATAAAATATTATATGCAAGGTATTTTGATTTTTAAACAAAACAAAGAATGAACGTCGTTGTAGGATATAATTGTAGTACTGAGACATTGAGTTTATCGTGTTTTAACAGTCGGCCTTCAACTTGTCGATCTTAACCGTAGCTGGTGATGTCTTACACGGCACATAAGCATATAAGTGTATCAATTAAGAAATAGAAAACGATTAAAGTGCAATTTATGGTTTTATGGTGTGATAATGCACGAGGGGATTATGGTGCTTTACACGCTTCTCGAGTATTCTCCCAACATTCTAGATCTCCGAGGCGAGTGCATTATCACACCATAAACACGCGAGACGAGTTTTTTTTTCTATTTTGATGTTACTCTGAGTGTGCATCCACACTGGGCAAGACGAAGACGAAGATACTGTACCCCACTGTTTTGAAACTGAAAACCAAGACATTGCATTATGTACTATTTAAAGCACGCGTAGGAGTGTTTTATCAGATATAAGCACGAGTATTTTATAATTATCTGATAAAGCACGACTACAAGTGCTTTAATTGAATGACTTATTTAACATACACGGAAAACCAAATATTTCCTCAATGCAATTAGCATGCGGTAGTAATGATAGAATATATATAGTGCAGCATATTTTCACATGACTATATTAAGTATAAACCACACATAATTTAAGTCACTTAATTCTCACAAGGGCTTTTAAGCCCAATTGTGAGAAGTGACGTAAATTATGAGTGGTTTATACTTAATGTAGTCATGCGAAAATATGCTGATCGCCGTTAGAACGGTTCTAAAACACCACACGAGTCAGAACACGAGACAACACGAGTGAACACGAGTCAAAAATTTGTGAACACGAGTCAAAAACTGACGAACACGAGTCAAAAATGACGAACACGAGTGAACACGTGTCAAAAATGACGAACACGAGTCAAAAACGCATTCTTAAAGAGGCTCCCTAGTCCCTACAGTTTTAATTAAGCCCGTGATGAAGGTCTGTACTGTGTAATTGCACGCGGGATACCAGGATTTTTGGCGGCCCACAGGATGCATGTTGTATTAATAATAATAATTATTATTATAACGAAAACTTTATTCAATTTTAATAATAATAATAATAATGAAAACTTTATTAAACTTTTTTACGTATATATACAATTGTAAATCTCACTACTGACTTAGGTAATTTACAATTGGCTACACTGAATCACAGAGTACTACATATGTACTATTTACAATAAAAACAAGAATAAAATGGGTATATGATTATATATATTACTCAAGATATGTAGTTATTAATTTAAATGTTTAACAATTCAGGGTTTGTCCACTCTTTGTTAGACAGCAAAAAATATAGTACGTCGCTCTAATGGCATATGACGTCATCGTTTTTATGCAGTAGTGTTGCTGCTTTTTATCCATTCCTATAGTGTCTAACAATTCTAAAAAGGTGAAGCATTCTTTGTCAAACACACCGAGAGAGCTCATTGAGTAAGTTCACAAATTTAACAGAATTAAAGTGACCCCTTTGATCTTCAATTAGATCTTCATATTTAGCTTTTTTGCGTTCAACGTTATTATGTAGATTAGATTCAAACCCAACAGTAAGTTCAACGACATAAAGATCTTCATTTGGAGTAATTAAGAGTAAGTCCGGTCGATATAGGTCACCAGTTATAATTGATGGGCTTTTGTAGCCGGATAGGTCAGCATAAAGTTGACATGGATTTGTTGTTTGAAACGTTTCAGCGAGAAAGTTTAAAATAGAATCATGTCTCCAAGTAAATCGCTGAAGGTACGATTGGCAGCCGGCTACCACGTATTACCACGTATAATAATAATAATAATAATAATAATAATAATAATAATAATAATAATAATAATAATAATGGAAACTTTAATAATTTTGTTATATACTATATATACAATTGTAAATCTCACTAATTTAAGGTAACTTACAATTGG